ACTCTTGAAGTCATACTTCAAGTTATTTTAAGGAAAGTATTAAGACTTTATTAGCAAAGAAGTATAAAAACTTCTTGCGAACATCTTTTTGTGTGTGGTCAGAGGATCAACGGAAATTTTATTGAAGTTACAGTATATTTATAAATTATAAATAATAAATTTTAATATTGAATTTGTAATTTTTGTCAAATTTTTTGTCACAGTATGCAATTTTTTTTACCAAATTTTTTATCATAGTATTATTTTTTTGTCAAATTTTTTACTATAATATATGAATTTTTTTTAATACAATATATAAATTTTTTATATAGTATATCAAATTTTTCTCACAATATTGTCAAATTTTGTATAAATTTTTTTATTGATTTTTACTAATATTTTTAATGCTAAGTATCAGCAATTAAAAATGATTTGTCAAAATTTTTATTATTATATTTAATCAAATTCAGCAATAATTCAATTGTAAATAAATAACTCTTTTCATTGATCCCTTGACAATATATAAAAAAGATGTTTACAAAAAAGTTTTATACTTTTCTATTAATAAAGCCTTATCACTTTCTCTAAACCAACTTGAAGAAACTTCAAGAGCCATCTACTACTTCTTCTTCTTTTGCTTACTATCCTCTTCAAACAAAAACTTGATCTCTAGTGACCATAAAAGTAAAGAAACACCTTTCCTATCAATGGCAAGAAAGTTTTGAAAGAAAAAAGAACTAATGTATCATCATTTTATACTGTAGAGAAACACCATAGAAGTATCTTTGTGATAAGAGACAGCTTTCTTATTTTCTTGTCACTTATTACCTTCTCATAGTGCTTGTTCTTGAATTTTTTTTTGGGAATTTTGCCTATCTTAATTTGACCCTGAATTTTGAGTAGCATAAAGTTTCTCATATCATGATTGGACAGATAGAACTCACATTAGTAAAAAAAGTAAACAAGCTCTTATCGGTCACTTCACATGTTCAAATGCATTTCCTCAGCTTCATAAGAACCTAAGGTCTACCATAAGTCATTGTGCCTTATGTAAGTGAATAAGAAACACTGCCAACTTCTACATCTTTGGCTAAGTGAAAGAGAAAGAATATATCCTCCCTTCTTCTCTATCAAGAAAGAAAAAGGAAGACTAGGCTCAAAGAAATATAGAATATGAATGACATCTTAAAAGTGTCATATCTATTCTTTATTAGTATGAATATTGGGAGATTAGGAGATCTTAGGATTATTTATATCTAATCAACTATATCAACATGCAGTTGAACGATCTTAAGTGGCTGAAGAATATGTTACAGTGGAACATTAGACAATGGTTCAATCTCTACAAATAGTAGTACTTTGGGAAAAACAGTATAATACTTGTCAAGCCGATAAAAATATATATTGGAAGAAACAAGATTCTTTTTTCTAGGTTGGAGATTTTTGTAATTCCCAATGCTCTTTTATTCATGTTCTAGAGCCCTTTGAATCTCTGATTTATCATTATCTAGAAGAACATCAGTAGAAAATCCCATATTGGATAGAATATAAAAGGAAAAAGCAAAAAATTAGTAAACAAAAATCACAACATATAGGTACTGAAAACAGTGAAGAAACAGGTATTGCATTTTGAATTGATGAAACCCTCAAAGAGTAATCAACCCACGGTATCGATATGGTAATAGTAGTATATTTCCAAGTCACCCATAATCACACCATTTTTCCTCTTCCTTATAGTATCTTTTTTGTAATGCAGAATCTTTACACCTGTTTAAATTTGTATAGTTTTAATTTTATTTTTCTTTTCTAAATAGAGACAGTAGAGCAGGATATCAAACATAATAGTAAAACAAATCAGATGGTCTGTGGTAGACATAGATTCATTACACACTTTATTCCCCTCCAAGAAATTTTTGTTGCCCTAAAGGTCCATATATTAGGTTTCTGTCTGGAGATAGCCTAGCCATGAAGTGGTTTCTAACCTATCATTAGTTTAATAGCTTTCCAGTGTTTTCTTCTGGTCATATGTACCTGTATAGTAAAACTTCTAATAAACTTGGCCAAGCCAGCTTAAAAAAAAAAAAAAATTCAATTGTGAATAATATAATTTTGATTAGTGAATAGTATTATCTTTCATGTTATTGAATTATTTAAAGGATATTATAATAATGTAATGATGTTTATAGTTAGTACCTGCAAAAACACCATGAAGAACCTCCAACTTCGAAGAACTGACATGTCTATTAGTTTCAGCAACATCGTATCTAGCATTTTTTTAACTTGCTTCAGTGAACCCCGTTGAAGGACTGTTAAGGAAAAAGTCGTTAATTTCTGTATCACGTGAAATCACGTGCGTACATGTAAACTTATATAGTCGGAATAAAAAAGAATCGTAATATGGAGGGTGTGCTACTAACTCCCTAGCTTGGGAATAGGACATAGTGTGCATATATAAAGATATAGAGGGTGCATACTGTATATGGTTCACTGTAGTGTGTTGCTCTTACTCTTTTTACTATAAAACTGCCGTCGATCCATTTTTTTTTTTTTTTTCAAATTTTCATTGATTATGGCCGCCTCTATACGATCCGTTTTTCCAGTCGTTTCTCGTACAAATGCACGGTGTGTAACCTCAATTCGTAGTCAGGTAAAAGTTGTTCAAAATAAAATAGAAACTAACGTGAAGGGGCGTTCTGACACTTTCCTTCTGAAGTAGCTTTGGGGACCTCACACTGGACCCAAAAAAGTTAAAATCGTGGAAGTTGGTCCTCGGGATGGATTACAGAATGAGAAAATTTTTGTGCCAACCGACGTCAAAATCAACTTTATCAACAAATTGTCGAAGACAGGTCTAAAGGTCATCGAGTCGACCTCCTTTGTCAATCCAAAGCTTGTACCACAGGTATCTAAAAGAACTAGATTCTCTAAACAGCACACTCTTATATAATCTGTAATTCTTTAAATCTTGGAGATGGCAGATGGGATTGATGTGATGAAAAAGATCAATCGGGAACCGGGGGTAGATTATCCGGTTTTAGTACCCAATTCCAAGGGTTTAGAAATCGCAGTATCCGTTGACGTTAAAGACATTGCAATATTTGCGGCAGCATCTGAAACGTTCAGCAAAAAAAACATCAATTGTACTATAGAAGAGAGTTTACAACGTTTCCGGGATGTTACAGACATTGCGAATGCTCAGGGAATTGCCGTTAGAGGGTATAAATGTTTTTAATATTCGCATGGGCCAAGGATTCATTATATCGAAAAGCTAATTTGCTTCACTTAGGTATATATCTTGCGTGGTTGGGTGTCCCTATGAAGGGGATGTTTCGCCAGAAAAAGTTGCCACGGTTGCTGAGAGATTATATAAAATGGGTTGCTATGAAATCTCATTAGGTGATACAATCGGTGTTGGCACTCCTGGTACGTGTCAAGTGTTTCATCGCTCGGATCGCATTCCGAAAACATCCCATCAATGTTTTTTATTTGCTGCATTGCAAGGTTCATTTTCGAAAATGCTTGAAGCCGTAAAACAGTTGGTTCCCCTTGAACGGATAGCATTACATTGTCATGATACATACGGCCAAGCTCTCGCCAATATATATAGTGCATTAGAGGTAATTGTAAAGATATTAGCTTGCTTTTAATCACCTCAAAATTCCAATTGCGATTTTTTTCCTTCCAAAGGATGGCGTAAGGATTTTCGATGGATCTGTCGCGGGATTAGGTAAAAACATTTGACTATCGTTATATTGAAATTTATTGGTGTAATTGCTGATATATTGTTTTCAGGAGGTTGCCCGTTCGCCAAAGGTGCAACAGGAAATGTGGCAACAGAAGACATGGTGTATATGTTTCACGGAATGGGATATGAAACGGGAATTCAACTCCCGGAATTAGTTAAAGTTGGTAATTACATCTCTCAACATTTGGGCCGCCCGAATGGATCTAAAGTAGCCATAGCTATGACGTCAAAGTTGCAATTGAATGGATTATAAGTAATTATAATATAGTAGTAAAAACAGTAATAGTAATATACTATTTTTAGTACTTTGGAATTTAAACTTTGTTGCACAATGTTATAATTGAACCACATGTGATGTAGTTTCGTCACCAAGCCACAGGTTACACACCAAAGTCCGATCATTATGATTTGCATGAGCAAACGGGGAGCGTTACACTACCCCGCAAAATGCTCTCCATGTGCTGTACCACCATGCAAAGCCTGTTGCTGACGTTACATCTGTATGGATGCGTGAATGTTTGCTTTATAGTACAGCCTCATAGATTTGCAGAAGGCATAATGCAGCCCAACAAGTTTGCGCGAATAATCGCAAGCCGATATACACGGGAGACTGTTCAGGGTCAACATAATCTATATGGGTAATTATTTTCGAAGGCGGACAGGGAGTTTTCGGACCCTAGAATCACTACCCCGAAAATTTCTATTGATACGTATATACAATATAAATTCCGAAAATAGATCTAGCCCCTAAAATTTATACTTACTATCTATACACGGGATAATCGTCACGGGATGATCGTCACGTAACGAAATTTGCGCGAAATTCGCAAAACCGTGAAAATTGACATTAAATATTTCACGGAACTAACTTTGTTTTAATATAATATGTATTAAAATTTTATATGTATAATAAATAGATATTTTTTAATATAATTCTTAAATCTTATAAATTTTTATTTGAAATTGATTGATTTTATTAATAAATAAGTGTCAAATGAAATATTATTAGAGGAGAATTGAATTTTTCTTTTAAAAAATTCAATTAATTCTTCAAGGGTA